GGGGTAACTCTTAGCTCTCTGCCGACAGCTTGCAGGTGGCCACGGCGCACCCTGATGGCCATTCTACTCAGAGAGGACCCTGTCCCCAGAAGTCACAGCCCACACACTGGCTTCAGTCTCCAGCTTCCCTGCTCCGCCTGCTCGTTCCACGGACTACGGGACACACTGACGCCCCGTCTTCCTCACCTCTCTCTCTATGCTCCCTGCTGATCGCTTCACTGGATGCACTTCAAATTCAACACATTCTTCTTTTTTTTTTTAACAGAGAAATTTTTGCTATAGAGCATATGCACTCACCAGAGAGACAGAAAGCAAGACATCACCCCCCTGGAGGGGATGGCCACACTACAATCCCTTCTCCATTCTCCTCTCCCCAAATCCCCAAATCTCCTTCTCTTCCTGTATGTCTACTAAGAGTTTTAAATCCTTACCACTGATGCCAGATACCCCAATATCTCCTTTCCCTCCCAGGGAAGCCCCTCGATCTTTCTGCTCCTCATCCTCGTGCCTATGCTTTCAAACAGACGCCTGTCTCTCTCACACAGACGGACACAGCAGGCTCCTATACGTAGCTGCTTCCTGTATTTTGCCTCTCCTCTTCTTTCTGCACTGCTTCAAGACTGATCTTTCTAAGATAAAAATCTAGTAAAAATATCTTTTTTCAGTCCACATCAGTAGCCACTAGGGAAAGGCAAATGAAAGCCACAAGGAGGTATCAGACACACCTACCAGAGGGGCTAATGCGGAAATTCTAACTACAGGCGAGAATGCAGGACGGCTGGATCACTGCTGACGGGTCCGTAAAACAGTACACCTACTCTGGAGAAGAGGACTGCAGCTTCCTACAAAATTAAATAGGCACTTACCATATGACCCAGCAACTGCAGTCCTGGGCACGGATCCAGAGAAGCGAAAGCTTATACTCACATAAAATCCTACACACGAGTGTTCAAAGCACCTTTTCTTTGTAACTGCCACAGACTGCGAATAACCCCGTGCCCACAAACTGTGGTATATCTACAACGTGAATGCCACTCAGCAGCAGAAAGAACCACTGACACACACGACAAGTGAGGTGGCGAACGGAATCCGGCGGAGGGGAAAGAGCAATCACATAGCATTCTTTTCCCTTTTTTTTTTTTTTTTTGACAGCACATGCGTTCCGGAGAGACAGAGACATTGAGACAGAAAGCAAGAAATCACCCCCAGGAGGGGATGGCCACACGGCAATCCCTCTATTCTCCTCTCAGAATCTCGGGCACGCGCGCACACACGCCCGGCGTGTGTTAAGCCACCAGACCGCGGTCAGCTACGCGGAAGTCCAGCGACCTAACCATGATGCCACCTCTGGGTCCCTTACATAGCATTCTTACGACGTCAACATTACAGAGATGGGGAAAGGACAGGTAGCGGACAGAGACTGTGGGAGCAGGGAGAAGTGCCCATGGCTAAAATGATGGCATCAAAGATCCCTGTGATGAAGTTTCTGTTTCTTGACTGTGGTCAAGAAATCAAACCATCTACACATGTGAAAAAATGGCATAAAGGCCCAGGTGCCCACATACACACATAAATGAGTGCAAGTGAAACGTGAAATCCTGGGCCAGCAGGTGGCAAGATGGTTAAGGCAGCTGGATCCTACAACAATTCCAAGTCCTGGACCCAGCAGCTTGAAAAACATACGAGGCGTACATGCACGTGTGTCCAAAGTCCTGCAAAGAAAAGGGAGGTGGGGGGACTGCATCGTGGCCATGCCCCTGCAAGATGATTTCTCTCTCCCCCCACCTGAGCACAAGCACTATAGAGCAGACCGGAAAATAAAGAACGTGAACCTTAATCGTCGTTCCGTATCCGTGCCAGTCAGCAGCCGGTCATACTCTCCTGTAGTTACGTAGGGTTACCACTGGGAGAGACTGGGTGTGGCATATCTCTCCCCACGTAACTTTTCACAACTGCATATACGTGTACAGTTATCTCAGTTTTCTAAAACAATTATTTTAATTTTTTATTTATTGCCATTATTTTATTTTACTTTTTTTAAAGAGAGGTTTTTGCTATAGGGCATGTAAGCTCACTGGAGAGACGGAGAGAAACAGAGAGACAAAAGCGAGAAATCACCCCCCAGGGGGGTCTGGACACGCCGCAATCCCCACTCCTCCAGTCTCCTCTAGGGATTCTGGACACGCACACACACGTGCCTGTTGTGTGTTTTAAACCCCGGGTCTGAGATTCGAACCGCAGTCAACCACGTGGGAGTCCAGTGATGCAACCATTACGCTATCCACTGGTCCCTTATTTTACTTTTTTTTTAAAAGAGAGAGACAGAGAAAGGGAAAGTGAGAGAGCAAGTGGCCAGGTTCAGGACTTGAACTACAGTCAACCATGTGAGAGTCTGGCCTCCTTAACCACCACGCCACCTGCTGGCCCTCAAAGTTTGTTTTTTTTTAAATCTCACTGGCAGGAGGGGCCAGCAGGTGACATGGTGGTTAAGGGCACTGGACTCCCACATGGTCGACTACGGTTCACGTCCTGGACCCGGCAGCTTATTTTCTCACTTTCCCTTTCTCTCTCTCACTCTGTCCCTCTCAGATAAAATTAAAATAAATATCTAAATAAATAAAGTAAAGTAAAATAAGTCTTAAAAATAAATAAATAAAATCTCACTAGCAGGTCAGCTGGTGGCATGGTAATCAAGGCCCTGGATTCCCACACGGCTGACCCCGGTTCTAGTCCTGGATCCAGAAGCTTGAAAATCACACCGGGCACATGTACGTGTGCACCCAAGATCCCGAGAAGAGAAAGGACACTGGAAGGGACTGTGACATGGCCACCCCCTCTGGCGGGGATTTCTCACTTTCCCTCTCTCCGTCTCTCTAGGGAGCACACACACCCCAGAACAACAAAAACACTTTCCCTCACTAGTAGGGCCAGCAGGTGGCACAGAGGTTAAGGCACTAGATTCCACGTGGTTGACTGCACTGTTCGATTCCCAGACCTGGCAGTTGAAAATCATGCCAGTTGCGTGGATGTGCCCAAAATCCCAAGAGGAAAATGAAGGAGAAGGGATAGTGGCATGGCCAACCCCCAGGGGGTGATTTCTCACTCCCCTCTCTGCCCCGCCTCTGTCTCTCTGGCAAGTGCATGCACCTACATCAAAACTTAATAAAACAAAAACAAATCTCACTAGCTTCCAGTGGTTGCCCAATGCCCACAGTAAAAGTGTCTGTAGCATGGCATGCAGAATTTTTCCTGACCTGCCCTCTCTTTACACATCCTAGTCTCTGGATCACTCATTTTAAGAGCTAACATCTGTTGAGTACGGTCCACATGCCAGGAGCCACGATGAGTATTTTACCTTTGTTATCTCATTTAGGCCGCGGCGACAGCCCGAGGTAGGCACTGCTGTCCCGACCCCTTCCATACAACCACTGAGCCCTTCCCTGTGGCGCCAACGTGCCAGCACTTCCCCCACACGCTGGGTCTCTGCTTCTATTGCCTAGAAGGCCTCCTCACCCAGCCACCCTTCAGAGCCTTGCTCAAGGCTGCCTGGGCAACTTTTCCCAGACGTAACTGTTATTCAGAGATGGTCGTATAATGAGAAAATGCAGATTAAAAAAAGCAGCAAGTCATGTCAGGCCAATGAGATGCCAACACTGGCTGCGAAGTCCACACCCTTCTCAAGTTCTCACATAACAAACACACAAATGCGGACCTCAGCTTCCTCATTCTGGTCACCCATTCTGCTTTATTAGTTTCTTTTGCAACTTCTTTCCCTCAGGAAAACAATTTCAGGGCTAACCTTCTAGCCTAGCGGTAAAGGCACCAGATCTCACGTGGCCGACCAGATTCCAAACTGTAGCTTGAAAAACACAGCGGGTACGCGTGCATCTGGGCCCCGAATCTCAACGAGATGGAGGGATGGAAGAGAAGGGACGGGGCCTGAGCGAGCCCGTGGGAGGGGGCGCTTTGCTCTCTGTGTCTCTGTCCCTCTCCAGAGGACTTTGCTCTCTGTGTCTCTGTCCCTCTCCAGACAGAGGGACAATTGAAAATACACTTCCTCCACTTTGCCATGCATCTGCATTATTTCTATTAGAGGAAACTAGATTATTATCTAAAGAAGACTTAACGTTTATGAATGCACTTGAAAAACTTCCTGATCACCCTACAGCTACCCGCGACTGTCCCAATCACCCTCTGAGATCTGAGTGAGTCTCTCAGGACGGTTTATATTTCAAACACGGACAACAGAGGCAAAGGGAAACGACGACTCTTGCTGAAGGGTCAGTGAAGCTTCGTGGTTCCGATGCCCTCCGATCCCCTCCGATCCCCTCTGATGCCCTCCGATCCCCTCTGATGCCCTCCGATCCCATCCGATGCCCTCTGATCCTCTCTGATGCCCTCCGATGCCCTCTGATCCTCTCTGATCCCCTCCGATGCCCTCCAATGCCCTCCGATGCCCTCCGATGCCCTCTGATCCCCTCCGATGCCCTCCGATCCCCTCTGGCCCTCTCTGAAAGCCGCCCTCCCTCAGGCAAGGCCTCCAAAGGCACAGGCTGGTGAGCGCGAGAATGCTACAGGAGAAGGAGGGGGGAGGCCGAGAGCTGGCCTCTCCTTCCACCCACGGAGAGCGCAGGGCACCGATCGACGGCTCCTTCCAAGTAACTGTAAATTCTTTTCAAGTGTGTTTGTCAGTCCTTCCAAGTAACTGTAAATTCTTTTCAAGTATGTTTGTTTAAGGCTTTGCCACAACATGATCCGCTCCGGCAGTCTTCCTGCCGGCATCATGGGTGAGCCCGCGGGTGCACCCAGGGTGTTCAGGGCAAGCCAGGATCCAAACCCTGAGCCTCCAACGCTCTGGAGCAGCTGACCACCAGCACTACCGCTGTTGGGCCCAACGCCAAGAAGGAAACCGACTCCTTCTATACTGCATCATACGAAAAGAACAGAGTGTGGCCTAGTGCCACAGCAGACACGGGAGGACTCGGGGAGGGGGCACTGACCGGTCGCGATCTCCTGAACTTGGATCCCTCGCGGTCTCCGTGCGGCCCGGGGGGCCCGGCTCTCTCCCTCACGCTTCTGTAGCCAGGACTGGGGATGATGTACTCTTTCACTATG